TCCAAGACTAAAACATATAGCAAGAAAGCATTTTATGTGCATTCGCGCCTTGCAGACCCAAGAAAAAAATGGTAAAAAAAACAGGCGCATGACACCATTGAAAATCTGAGATGATTTTTTTTGCTGGCGGTTAGCATATGATTACATATACAATAGTAATGACATCAAGGTGTCTTGTTAGTATTGTGTTGCTTTTTTACCTCATGTAAGGTAACGAACTTTGCCAAGCACGCTTAGCTGCTTACATGCGGTATCAGAAAACTGAAAATAACTTTTGTTCACCAGGCTTGTAGATTGGATGCTCTATATGTGCGGATAGTCATAGGCCCGTAGTAAAGCTCGGTCACGGGAGATGATCTCCTCTAAGGCCCTCATATGAGGCTTTAATGGGTGAGATGCGGACTGCCCACTTTTCCGTGGTGTATGGAAGGTCACTTTACAGGTGAGCTCCAAATGAAGCCCGGCAGGGAGATCAGCTCCCGACCCCGAGTCATCGGAGATGAGCCGGGCGACCACATAAGGTAAATACTGTGCTAAAGAGGAGAGCACAGAGAAAACCTCCGTAAGTTGCTCCCGAGTAACTTACGAAACATCGCAGCTGACGTTCTTTTGCGGTGCAAAACTCCCAAAACTGCACAATTTCGGGGCCTAAGTGAGTGAGGATCGATGAACAGCTGATTGCGCGACGAATTTGAAAAAAAAAGTTTTTGCATTTTTTTTGCAGTTGTTGCTTGTTTTTGATAGCGAACCGCTTCAGATAATAAGAAGGTAAATTTACCTTTCTACTCATTTTTTTCCAAGTGTAATTTTTCTTTGTATTAATGCCAAAATATTGCGTATTTGTTTTATCTCGTTGTTTGTTAGGTGAAATCTCTGATAGCGGCTATCATCGATTTTTTCGACAGCGGCCGTTATCGAAGGTCGCCAGGCCAAGTAGCAAAAACGGCGACGCTAGCCGCACTCGAACCACGGCCTGCCGCTTGAAACGCATTATTCTTATCCATTTGACTAGAGATGCAAAATGGCAGAAACGTTCCCACCTTGAGAACGCGAACATCCAGTAAGTGATCTGCTCCAGATCAATCGCTCCCCTGGCAATGTGCTGAGGCGCGATGAGATCAACTCCGGCCCGCCTCAAGAGAGATGCCCTGATGGGGTTTACTACGGGCCATAGTCCCAAAGGTGCCTTCCCGTAAGTCTGAAGAAACTGAATTGTGTTTGTTTTTCTATCAAACTCAGGGTACCATTCGATAGAGCAAAGCAAGCTCTATAAAGTATAGCAGATGATTTGCCTAAGTCATCCAGGAAGTTTGGAGCAAAAATCAAAGAAAATTTTATCACCTGAAAATTGAATTTTCGCGAGAAAAACCCTACGGACCTCAGATTTTGTCATTAAACAGTAAAATAAAGTAGTACTCAAATGTTTCCTTATTGTATTTGTTCCATGCTTAGAAAGCGAGAAAAAGATAGTCCGAAAATGGCAAACTCCGCCCCCAGCCAATCCACAAATGGCAAACTCCGCCCCAGCCCCTCTCACGTATGTCAATGTATACTATAAGCCTTATTAAGTATATCCGCAAAATTTTACCTCTGTTTGCAATTTGGTAATCGAGAAATAAAAAATCGAAAGAATTACAGTTTCGCACTTTCGGGCATTTAAATTTTAATTTTGAGCCCCAGAAAAATCCACCAAATACATTTTTGGGTACTGTTACTTCTACAGTATAATGACCAAGTTAGAGGTCCGTAGGAATTTTCTGGAAGGAGATTGGATTCTCAGGGTGCTCGAAAAATTTCAGTTATGTGTCTAGACACTGCTTCTCTTCGTTTAGCAATAGAGATCCTTTTCCTATTTGAAGACAAAAGAGTGAGTAAAAATAGAAAAAAGCCATTAATCGAAATTACGATTTTTGGCAGGACTTTCGCTTGAATGAGTTTTGCTTGATAAAAATAAGTTTTCTGACAATTATCATTCCACTTATCATTTGGAAACTCCCAGAGTTTTTCAAAGTCATTGTAAAATAAAAGCTGCATAGAGTTTTGTGTTTTTTCATAGCACATGTGACACAGAAAACAGATATTACAGCGCTATTAAAGGCGTAATTTCATCGAATTGAAATGCACTTTTGGCATTGCAAGTGCTATAGGCTACATTTACGAGTTTTTGTCGATTTCCCATAGTTTGAGCATTTAATTTCGTCCACAAAGCGTTTTGAAGCGTTACATGCAAATTTCCGGATAAATTTCCCTTTTTCTGCAATTTTCAGGTACTTTGAGGATGCAGAAAAGGTGGAAGTAGGTGGTGTTAGGGTTTACGAAGAAGTCTGTTCTTCAAGTCAAAATGATCCAGGCTGATATACGAAAGCGGCATGTCTTAAGTCCCATTTTAGAATGGAAAGACAGTCTTTAACTCATTGACGACAATGTGGGGCATCGGTGGCCTACGCGGTTTTTTTTGCTGCCAGGGACGATGTAGACCACCGGTGGCCGACATTTCTTGCAAAGTCATATTATTTTTCTCTTGCTTGTCCACTTCACGTTCGAGATTGTGTCATTTATAATGATTGTAGAGGAAGACACTCTGTAACCCTGTTCTTGCATATCTCACAACAACGACGACAACAAGTATTGTATTTCTAGTATTTGTCCACATATTAATATTTCCGATTTTTGCACTCTTGAGGCCTGTAGGCTCCGTCATTCAAGGAAATGTGTATAATTGTTTGAAAAACAACCTTGCATTTCGCTAATAACCACAGAACCTTCCCTCACGAAAGAGTTGTATAAAATCGTGTCGTCCCCAGCGCCGTCAAGCAGAATCAGGCGTCGTCGTCAATGGGTTAATATTTCTAACCAATCTTACAAGTTTTACCGGTTTTCCAGTACACGGAAATGTTCTAGAGGCAAAAAACTAAAATGCTGGATACTTATTATTGAACAAAAAACAGCAAATAATATCGTTGTTTGTAACTGTCACTTATTGACGAGAACTAGTCTCTTGACATCCTTTCAGCCAAAAAGGCTGTATAAATTTTCCGGCGTTCTATTTTTGGCTAAAAATCTATGTGTGTTGCCCCAGCCCCACCTTCACCTGGATTTTGAATATATAAAATGCTTTTGGAGAACTCAGAAAGCACACATGCAGAAATGCCGCGACGCGTCTGTCTGCAAAGCGGCTAACTTTATCAAGTTCATCATAGGTGTTAGATATATAGCATCCCAGCTGCCCTTCTGCGAAAAAATATGTTCTTATTTCAAGAAGGTCTTCGAAGATCAACTATGATAGAGACCAGTTCTTGCCTCAAAAATAATTCAACTACAAGCTTTACCTTTTGATAAATAAAGTTTTCAACCAATCAGAATTTCATAAAAGAACAAATGTGAGAATGCAATTTTCTTTAATAATCAAACTTTGTCATTGTCTTTTGTCATTTCTTTATCTTTATCTTTCTATTACACTCGAGATGCACCAAAAAAAACGGTGAGTGGAAAAACTACATAAAAGAAGTAATAAATAAAATTATATTTAGACGGTATAAGTCGGAACAAATCTAAACTACAAACAATATATGTATTTACTTCTCCCCTCCTCCCTTCCCCTCCCCTCCCTCTCCTCTCCTCCTTCATACTTATTTTAGCCCTATACATATTTGGTTACATCCATACCTCTGGTACCTCTCCAGACATCTCCAATTACTCAATGTATCGCAGATTTCGCAGCGTACACTCTAATCAACATCAAATTAATCATTTATATGTGTAATGGATAGTCGTCGTGTAAGAGTGCGGAATTCTTTAGTCGAGCACTGAGAGAGCCGACTCCAATCGGAGCAATGACCAAATGTGACATCTATAATTGGAATTGAATTACATATGGTCATGACTCAAATTTTGGGAAGAAGAAAAAGGAGGAAGTGAAGCTTATGTAAATATAGACGGTGAAAGGGAAGGATGTGTTTGACATGCAGCTAGTATACTTTTTATAAGAGCGGAAGAATAGGTGGGTAGAATTAAGAATGAGTTGACGAGTTGCAAGTAACATATGAGAGTTTTAGATATGTGAAAAAGTACGAAAACTTTAAATAGAAATGATGTGAAGTGGTTAAAGGTTTACCTCTGCCGTAGTTCATATTTCAAACAATAAATTTAAGGCTAAGCGGTTCCTGTGAACTGTATCTAGTTTTATGACCCAGGTATCTGATGGCTGTTTTTGCTGCTTATTGGAAATATCTACGTATCCATTTTTGCGAAACATTACATAAAATAAGAATACAAAGCAAATAGTAAATATTAATTTGCGGCAATTCTTGGAGTGCTGAATTTTCGAGAAAAACCCATCTTGGTGATTTTACAGTCTACAATGAAATGGCCACCCTGGACATATATATATGAAAATGTGAGAAAACTGGTCCTCGGAGCTAGTTTATCATAATCTCAGACCATTTCAAATTCAGAAGTGTTCTAATGTAGTTATAATGCATTTCAACTGCTTATTTTTTAGAAAATTTTTTAAGCAAACAGTACAATGTTTCCTCAGATAATCTGTTGAATTTCTCAAAATTTTGAGTGCCAATCTCCAAAAAAATTTGGAAATGAAGATTTTTTAGACTTGGGGACACACGATTGACGATACTGGGTTAAGAACCACAAATCGCAGAGTAAAAAAAATTTGAATCAGAAAATTAGGTTCGTTTAGATGGAGAGGCAAAAACTATCCCAGACAGGGCTTGAAACTTTTTCCGAGTTTCTTGATGGTGGGAGAATGCGCACTTAAGTAAAAAATGGATTTCTAGAAAATAGGGGCAACTATAGTGCTTCCTAATGGAATTACTTAAAAACTCTCCTTCTACCTTTTTTCGCGTAGCTCGGAAAGTTGGAAAAAAGATTATATGAAGTAAATAATATTTACCTTTGTGAAAATCGAATAAATGTTGGGAAATAACATCCTTACAGTTGGTCAAGAAAAAATCAATGCATCCGATAACTGCGTCTTTTTTTAGCCCCACACAACTCGCCAGTCTACGTTCGGATAGAGACCGATCCTTCAAAGGTAAGCCTTATTTGATCGACTCGAGCCAAAGGCAAGCTAAACTGCGAGAAAATCAATTTTTTGACGAAATTTTTTGTCGACAGAAACCAAAGTCTTTGATGGAGTGAAAAGAATCGTATAGGAAATAAACCAACATAGCCACAAGGTTGAAATGTTCAAACGACAGAACTACTTATTCGCATAAAGTCGTTGGTGTTTTTACCATGCACTTGGTTATCGAATTGTTCGCATGAGCAACATTGTGCCATGATGAGGTTGCACATTGTATTCGATTGAGTTTTTAGAGTTAAATTGACTTTTCGGCACCGCAAATGGTTTTTTTAAGCCCTACGCTGCTTGACTAGATGGGGGAAAAATAACGCTTTCACGAGGATTTTACGAGATTATTGGGTAGGGGGACCATATGTCCGGTAGTTTGGCTTCTTGAATCTTGGTATTGTTGTAGACACTTTTCGGTGAAATTGCTGAGCTGAACCAAGATTGGTATGATAACTTTTATTGGCTGACGTCGACGTTTCGGCGATCTACGCCTTCTTCGGAGCCTGGAAAGAGTCTGCAACAAACACACATTCCGCTACATGCACAGGCTGAGCATCTGCTGCATTATCCGCGCAGGACCCTCTCACTTTCGGCGACATGTAGTCCTCTACCCGAGATTACTGGAAGCTTACAATTTTTTATTTTCGGGAGCATTTTGATTCTGAACTTACACATATCATCAATCATCAAAAATCTCTAACTGAGAAAACACATAAGGCTGGAAATCTCCATTCACAGTTCATTTCGTAGAAAAATTACAAAAAATATTGAAATTAATAACGAATGATAAAAGCATCAAATTTAGAGCAACCAATCCACTAACTCCTTTGAAAGTGGTGTAAGAATAATTTGCGTAGCTGTTACTACATTTTCTAGTCGATTCTATTTGATTTTTACTGAAAATCTCAAAATGACTATCTTTTCTTGCCAATCAATAATGCGGAAAAATATGAGCTGCAAAGAAATTCTGTTTTAGTGTCTCTCGCTATGTTTGAACTAGATGAATAAACAATGAAATTCTCCTCTTTCCAAAAATTCGGCTGCAGGAATGTGACAGCTGATTCGCATGACCATATACTTAGGTATTTCCTCTCAGGACCGCACTAGTGCGCGGCACACTTTGCGGCAGCTTATTTATCGCGTATGACGTGTCTAGACAAGTCAAGCGCGGCAGTATTGAATACTGTAGTGCAAAACGGCCATTTCCTGAGAAGTTTTCTTATCCGCTTCTTTTTCTCATGCGATCTACTGAAAGGAAACAGGTCTTACTAAGGTTTTTGTCGCTTGATGATACTCTCAGTTTCTACGGCGGATGTTAATGAAGGTCTGCTCATTCACTAAAAAACAAAATTTCAGTCATTTGATGTTGGACCTTACGATCGCACACGATTTGATCTCGTCGAGCAGTTTCATCCACTTCAAACAGCATCCGTAGCTACAGGTAGGCAGGAGGTTCATCGAATCTTCTCTTACCTCACCCCCCCCCCCGGTTGTTCTCATCAGCCTATCTGAGTGTTGAATCTGCGCAAGCAAATTGCGTACCTGTTTCAATTTTCTTCATAAGTCAAGATTTTCTTCATAGTTCAAGATATGTCTTAGTATGGGGAAAGTTTGCCCCCCTTTTTAATGAGGATTATGTAGCATCTCCACCGAAATTTCTGCCATTTCTGATAGCGCTGAAAAACAAAGAAATTTCTGAATTTTTTTAGGCGAACAACTCCTCGAAGTCAAACGACGTGTTGCTGGAGTAAAATCACATCAGCCACGATTTGCAATGCAAGATACTGCATTTGACGATTCATCAGTAGGAAATGATGGTGAAGCCCTGTCACCGACAGAATCTCCCGATGTTATTCGTAAGTTTCAATAAAGAAAAATTATGCTCATTTTGCTTGCACGAAAATTCTGGCAAGGTTTGGGGACCAGTTCTCGCTGGAGTTGATACTACTTTCTATCAAAATAAAAGGTCTAAATCAACGAGATTACGATTGCATTTGAGGCAAAGTTGCTTAGATTGATTTTATGTTTTTTAGAAGTAAAATAACAGAAGTTTTACAATATGGCGAAAGAGTAAGTATTCCGAGGAAATTAATGTAATGGAATAGTTAAGCAATAAATTTTATGTTTGCTCATCATTCTTTTTCCGCAAATTACGCGCGACGAAAGCTAAATGTGGGAAAATTCATCATATTACCACTCTCGCGCTGCATTTGACGCATCAGTGCTCTGAGAAATGCTGGAAAATGTTATGAGCGAGGGTATGAGGGAAATGCGAAGAGGGGGGGGGGGAGGAGAGGGGATGCATTTAGCATCTCTACTGGATACTAGCAAAATGGAGACTTTTATTTCCTGATTGTAAAATAGCCAAGTGCGGTGACGGATCGAGGACAGGGCTCGGCACAGATGGTTTATAAGCAAGATGAATATCGTTTTTGGGGTAAAAAGCAAGGGGGTGGGGGGGGGGGGTTGTTTTTGTAATCGAAAAGACACAAAATATGCTACGTTTGTTTTGGTCGACGTTTCGTTTTTTGGATACTTTTTAGGGATTATGGTCTAGAGTTAAAGGGTACTTCGTAGAAATTCGCAAAAGTCATGGGGGACTTCGTTTTTTGCATTTTCAACCACATATCTCGTGCCGAGTCCTGATCTAGGAAGGGAGGGGTCAAAAAAGCTTTCAAAGTAAGTATATGAGTATAAGTTTCAAGTAAGTCTTATAAGTCTTACATAAGTCATAGAATTGCGTAAATTAATCGTTCTTACTTGCAAATTATCAGAATAAATATTAAGTCTTCAAAAAAAAATTAAGTCAACTCTGTAAAAAAATTTATCGGCGGCTACGTGCCCCCTTCTTCAGTATCTCGAGGTTATCGGGTTGCAAAAATCTGAAAGCATTCCTCACATTCTTCCAAAAAAGCGTGACTTGTGCTCTAATCGCCACCTCTAAGATAGCTTTTGAGTCACACCTTTCTTATTCAGAAAGGAGACTACTGTAGCAAGCACTCTTGCTTTTTCCTTTTAATTGCGCCATGCTGCATGCGAGATTCATCTGTTTATGACATATCTCTAAGTGAATTAGGAGAGAGTAATGTGAGGGAAGTTGTGAGGAGATGTCTCCCTAAACAATATTCCTTGTTGGGATTCTCAGGAAAAACTGAGGTAAAAATTGATAGAATACCCAAGTTTTTTTCTCTGGTAACGGAAAATGCTCGGGCATCGGATTGAAGTTTGAACAAAACATAGGTAAAATTTTCAACCCTGCGCCATTGTTGGAGTTTGACGAGCAATAACCCTTACAAAAATTTTATAGGGTTTTATCCCTGCTCCTAGAGATTTTAATCGCCTTCTTTCTCTCTTCCCCCCTCCCCCCCCCCCCCCCCCCCTCATCCACAAAACACTAAATTCTTGCAACATTGATGTACTATGAAATCGACCCATCCGGTATCCCTTTATCTCAAAAACAGGAAAGTTTTGCGTTGAAAACCTCTCCTCAAGTTTTCGCTTTTGAAAGCAGTGGCTCACAGCTCTAGGAGTAAACACGCATGACTTTTTTTTTTGATATACAGCCTCAGTAATTATATTGACGAATAAAGATAAGTAAGCAATATGATCGATTTATTTGCCAAAGGGTTTAAAAACACCTCCACAAGAATCAAAGTGTTTTTGAGAGAAATGGCAGCCAATTTGTCGAAGTTCACGGAAGTTATTGGAAGTTTCTTTCCTGAGCTTTACCGTAATAAAGAGCAATAAGTCACAATCAGAGATCAAAAATTAGAAATATTTCGGGGGTGCCCTGTATGAGTAAATTAGTGCGGTTCCGCCAGAACGCCTTGAAAAGGAAGAACTGGCATTCCTTTCCTTGAGCTTCGCTCGCCTAATCTAAGGGTACTGAGATTTTGATGCTATATGATAGCAATGCCCTTAACTAAGTAATCGCTCAAGTTTCGCGGCAAAAGTGAAATTTGAAGCGAGAAAATCGCTTCAGAAGGCAAGGGCGGCCAAGGTGCCTTCGCCCATCAACGTAGCGGTATGAAAATGGATTCGGATGTGGGCTTTAGGGTAGGTAGAGTTGTCGATGCCTGATAATCATGATGAACGGTGGATACTTAACGATACTAGATACGTTAGAGCCCAAACCTGGACTTGTCACTTCCAGACCACCCATGTTGGTGGGCGGAGCTACTTTGACCGCTTGTACATTCTAGAGCGAAGTTCTTGCTTTGGAGTTCACCTTTTAACGGGACTTGGGCTATTACCGATTCAAGGGCTCTGTTTATACAAAATCTGCAAAGCGTGGCATGAAAGAAGACTATTGAACCTAACAAATTCTCAAAAAAGATGCAAGATTGTTTGAAACCCTAAGCTGAGGAGCTGGGAGTTTGTATATAGGTTTGAGTGAGTAAACCTCAAATGAAAATTGCTTTTACAATTGTTAACAATTTCAAATTTTGAGCAAACGTAGGTGTTTGTAGGCGTAAACAAGCATGTTGCCCTGACTACTTTCGCGCTTTCAATTGTGGAAATAGAAAACGGGTCCATGTGTAGGTTAAAATGGGGATTTTCATTGTGATATGTGTATGGGGACCGAGCATAAGCAACTCTACCAGTCAACTCAATATTGTGCATCACATTTGTGATTGCCGTATCAGCATATATCTATCATTCTCATAAGTTCCATGCTATTTTACTACGCCATAGTGCCAGTTCGATGAGATTTTTATCTGAATACTTGACATAGTCGGTAAAAAATATCCGTTTATTCGAAATTTCTCGCTTTCGTATAATTCGACTTTTCAAAAATTCATTATGCCAAAAATGCGATCATGTGATCTACACTTTCCGTTTTGAAAAATATTGTTCGATTATTCGGCAGTTTTGGTCTCAGGAAATGTTCGATTTTCAAATGTTCGGCATTTTTCTATTTGCGCGAGTATTTGCGAGTCGATCATTCAGTATCTTTGACTTTCGAATGTAATCGATTATCCAATTACTCGAATAAAAATTTCGCATATTTGTATAGGCTATCGCATGACGAAGGCGCATATCTTTGGGCGCGAACGCGGCTTTATTAGCCGCGGAGCGCATAAGGCACAGAATCTACAACGGTGAAGATATACGCACGCGTCGCGTTCGCGCCCGCTCAGGTGATACTGCTTCTGCGCCTTCGTCCTGCAGCAGCCTTTATATGATTAACCGTCCTCTACAAAACATGGAATGTTATCTTTGCTCAAAGAAATCAGAACAAATTCTAGGACTTGTATTCGGTGAATGGAGCGCATGGAGCGATTGGACCCCATGCATGTCTGGAGAACGAAGCCGTGTACGAGCTTGCAGTTCGAGAAGACCAGCACTTCGAGTGGTATGCCACGGTGATGCAAAGGAGGTTCGTAGATCAGAAGATTTGTTACCTTGAAAAGCTCATGTTTCCCATTACCAGACACAAAGGTGCTTCTACTCGCCATTGGATGCTCAGATACCCGTTGCAAAAGATCCATGGACTATCGAACGCGAAATCAGTGGCGATTTTATTTGATTTCTTTTGAATATACTCAGCCTAATGTATTGATCATGTATTTCTATCATACTGCTTTATTTGATGTTCAACTAATAAATCTCAAATCTATACCAGAAGTTTTTGAAGATGAGAGTACCCTCTAATTCAACAGGATTAGTGCTGGAGGGCGAGGCTGCTTGGACTCTGCACCTTTTTCGTGTTCGTGCTTTCTAATTACTTCCTCATCACGAGCGTGGTCTGAGAGGCAGAGGCGATCCACTAGTCCAACATAAAACGAGAATTTAGCTACAGTCGAATCATCTTGTGCTGATAGCACTTCTTTCAACGAGAGCTTAGAACAGGGCCCGGCAGGAGGTGGCATTTCAGAATTTTGAAAACGATATCCCCCTTGGAGGCAAAATTTCTTACGACTTCCCCTTTGACCCTATTTTTGACCCCCGTAAGTCCCTGACAAACAGATATACACAAATAGTAAGATGGGCGGCCTCAGCGCTTATTATAGTAGTACTACCTGGCTTTCCTGGTCCAGCCCGGGTCATCGTTTGAGGGGATGGCCAAAAACCACACTCTGTCCTTCTCCTTTTGGGCCATATTCTCCACCCTTTTTCTGCAGTATCAATACTGCACTGCAGCCCTATATCTAAGATACTACTCATTTATTAGTCAGCTGCAAAACTTTACAATTCACAATAACAAAAACATAAACCTACGCTATACAACTTCAATAACAAAAACAAAAACCTACACTATACAACAACAATTTCATAACATTCATTTCATAACAACTTCAACAATTTCATTTCAGAACACTATACCCTATTTTCCGGTTTATGTGCCACATCTCATATGAGCTGCACCCGCCGCAGCAAACAATGGCGCGAAAGAGTTTTGGAAAAGAATGTTTTAAATTAAGAAACTGAAGACTCGCTGCATTTTGTGACAGTTCTTCATTGCACATGTTCAAGTTTCCAGGTATTTCCTTACTCCTTTAGATTCGGAAGAGTTTGTGTACGTTTGAGATGTATTTTATTCAATGAAGTGCTTTCTTTTGTTCTGCTGATGTTACCGATCACGAAGCTGTGATTTCGTTCGATTTCAGTGGTACTGCTAATGTATGAACGGTGTTTCAAAGGCTTTCACAACAAATAGCGAAATCGGAAAGTTACAGTCAGGCTACTAGGTGAAATAGGTAGTACCATCATCGCACATTAGCTTGCGCGCGATAAAAATAATTGCGACTCACATGCCAAAAAACAAGGTATGAAAAGAAAGAATTCACGTTTCCAGGTGTACAAGCCGCACCCGTCACTCGAATTGGGTGCGGCTTGTACACTTGGAAACAAGGCTTAACTAAGGCCCCGGGCAGACTTCACGCGATTTGATCGTCGCGACTGAATCGCCAACATTTCCATTCATTTTCATTTCACGTTCAAAAATTTCGGGCTGGAAAAGTATCACAACCGAAATGCAAGTTGATCGGCATGGAATGATGTTGTAACAGTTGTCTCCTCGCGATTCAGTCGCGACGATCAAATCGCGTCAGGTCTGCCCGGGGCCTAATGCTTTAGTCCCCTGATGCGACGACGTCGACGACGGCGACGACGTGGAGAACGGCGACCGCTCTCCACGTCGTCGTCGTCGTCGCCGGCGCGTCCTCGTCTTCCGCAGTCGCATAGCGACATAATCTGGAAAGTATTAACTGAAAGGCAGAAAAGTTTGTGTCGAGAGTTACCTTCACTCCTAGCTGTGCAGCTCCATACTCCGCAAGTGGGATGAGGAATTCCAGGATCGTGTAGGTCTTGTCCTCCCTATTCACGAGACCGACTAGAAGAGATGTTATGTGTGCGATGACGTCGTCATCTTTCGGCTCGTTCTAAAACGCATTTCATTACATTCATTTATTTTCATTGTGCTTCTGGTCTGGACGATCCCTTAGGCCCTCGACATAGTTCACGCGATTTGATCGGTATTATCGGTAAAAGGGCATTTGAGAATTTTCACTGCAGACAAATGCTTGAAAACCTGAAAAAAAATGACATACTTGATGAGGTCAACATCGAAAGCAATTAGTGAAGCGTTTCGTTGAACTTGCTTCATGAGATAAGTCGTCAGGGAAAGATTTTTGATCTGCTCTTCAAAAAAAATGATTGTAAAAATTAACTGCTGGACATGATGAATCGTTAAAGTTTTGTCAGAGACGATCGGACATCGGGCCGTGACTTGTGCAAGCTGGCAGAGAGAGCGGAAAACACTGCACTATCCCCTCCCCTCGAAAAATCTCGGCTTCCGCAGGTCAGCCAGCAACCCGACACTGGCTTCGAAAAGGTTGTCAAAAAACATGCTGTCCATCAGCGTAACGCATCAGCTTCGCTGCTAGGCTGAGAGCGTTTTTGGCTGAGGAAATTTTCTTAAGAACAACAAAAAAAAAACAAAAATCACACAAAGATAATGTCTCGTGAACATTGAGAATGTGGACACATCGATGCTCATTGAAAACCTCCCACTGTACAAACATCCACTATTGTGTGATCAAGAGCGAGATTCGAGCATAAATGCTTTACGAACGCCTGTCTGTTGAGATGTATAGAGCAATGTGTAGGGTGTACTACACATGTTTTTGTCAAGGAAGGTAAGGATGAAATTGAGGTTTGTGTTTGTTATGTTCCAGTAAAACAACAAAAACATTCATTACACGAATCCCGAATTCACGAGATCACAAATAGCATTGCTTTTCGGTACCCTAGAGATGTTTGAAATTCTCCAGAGAATGACGTCGGGACGATGTTATAGCTGCAAAGCTAATTATCTTCACAGCAATTGAAGGAAATAGTTGATGAAACAGGAAATAGAAAGTAAGGCTGTTTGAAAAGCTTAGTTGATGAGAGTGAAGATTGGTACCAGAATCGTCACTTGCAGACTTGCTCGGAAAATGCTTGAGAAATGAAATTTCAGATCTTGTTCATGTAAACATTTGAACATTTCAGCTATACATTACTGAAATGGAAGAGCGCATGCTGAACGTTTCTTTCCAGCGTAGTATGGCAGAAACATAATCAGTTCGTCAAAAGAATGCAAATCAAGGATGAAATGTAAGATTGAGAGTGTCTTTGAATAGCTCTTATTTCCGCCAGAAACACGTGGAAAGGAAGATCATTGCCTTCACTTTTCGGAAAATTCCACCTTTTCGGAAAATTCCCCATCAGCAAATGAATACATCTTATTAGTTTTATCATATTAGCCGACAAGACAAATGTTACGAGATCATTGCATGCCGACCAGCTTGCATTGGTTGTTTACGCGATTCAATCGCGACGATCAAATCGCGTAAACTCTGTCGAGTAATAAGGGATCGTTCAGACCAGAAACACATTGAAAATATGGGTCTCGCTGATCCACAAAAATACTGGAGGCAATAAAGGAAAACACACAAAGAAAAAACAAAAAATTACAAATGTGATGTACAAAAACGAATGCAAAAATTCGATGTAATGTAACATATTTGCATAAATGCACCATTCCACCTACCTGAGATAGTCCGAATGAGCCTCAAATTGGTGAACTAAGTGCGAGGTGCTATAGTCGAAAATTCTGACATGCATGTCATCTGAGCCGGTAACAACCCAGTTTTTGCGTGAAATAAACTTGGCAGCGCGCACTGGCAAATCACATATCTGAAGAATGCGCAAGATACTGGATTGAAACATAGTAAGCAACATAAGGCCCCAGCCAGACTTCAGTTGAATAGCCCAAAACGGCTCAAAAACACCGTAGGCCCCTTTCCACGAGAAATGAGCTATCTTGAGCGGAGTCTGGCCGGGGCCTAACATACAAAAATACATGAAAATTCGAAAAAATAAATCTACTTTGAAAGACTTCAGAAGCAGCTGACTCTTGTAATTCCAAATCTGAACACTTCCACTGTAAAGAGCTGCCAATAGCCACGTTTCCGTGGGATGAAGGTCCACCGATTCAACTCGACTCGATCTTTTCAAAAACATTTCCTCAACTTTTGATGACAGCATGCCTACAACAACCAGAATAGAGGAAAACGAAGAAAACAAACGACCCAAAAGAGCGAAAGTACGGAGAATTCGGCCATATTGCGAAAACTGAAGAAACACAATTACAAAAACAACTTTTTGCATAGAATATCACGACGAAATATGATCTCTGGCCCTTCTGAGCCCTTGTAGGGCTTGTCGAAGAAGCAATCTATTCAAGAATTGTGAAGATTTCTTCAATCAGCGATCACTAATTCAGAAATAGTCAATTTCTCGAAGTTTTCGCATCGTCCGTGCAAGATGCATCGATTGCGATTGGAGCGCGCTTTCCGAAACCGATCATAACACTTAAACCCTATTTGGGGCTTTATCTAAGCGGTGCCTTGGTGGTTTTGGAAGCGGATTTGAACATGTAGTAATACTCTCGACCTAGTCCACATTTATGTAAAGAAATCCGGGAAATTATGTGAAGGGAAGCAGGGAGCCACCCCAGGTTGCTCCCAGGTGGCGCGGGAGCCACCTAATTTCGAAAAACACTTACCATTTTTTTAATTCACATAAGTTTTTCATTATTTTTCATACTTTTTTTGTGCTCATGGTCCTCCAACTATACAGCAAATTTGATGCCACATCGTTACTTGTGCATTGAAAACGAGTCTATTTTGTTATTTTCCTCTTACAAGAATTGCGATTTGAATTCCCGCCTGCGGGCAGGCTAGCGACCGGAGCACAGAATCTTCACATTGCTGGAATCTAAGTTCATGGGACAGTAGCACCAACAAGGAATGATGAATAAAGAATGATATGTGCATTGTTTATCGGTAAACAAAGGGGAAGTCGTATTTTGAGGTCCGGGGCTCCGCCGCGGACTCCAAAATACGACTTCCCCTTTGCTTTTTCGGGCCAAAAACGATATCCAGCTTGTGAAAGCGCCACCCTCGCCGGGCCCTGGCTTAGAAAAAGAAGATTGATTAAAATTTTTTTGAGATCTGCACAGTTGAAATCATTGCTGTCGTA